GTGCGGTTTGAGAGGACGTGGACGGTGCCGGCTCTTTCCGCCCCTCGCTCCGTGCTCTGCCCCACGCTCCGTCCCCTAACGGGAGGGATGTCGCCCGCGTGGCGGGGAGCAGGATGGGCCGGAGAGGCCACTGTAGGGGTACAGCGGTGAAAACCCAGCCCTCTCCTAAAACGCCCAGAGAGCTTGTGATCTATGTGCTTTTGATACTTTGCAGTGAGTAGGTCCTTACGGCTCTCCGTGTACGTGTTACTTCTTTCTTCCGGTATTTTTTGTTGTTGTTTGGGGTTTTTTGTTTGTTTGCTTTGTTTGGGGGTTTTTTGGGGTTTTTCTTTTTTTCTCCGATTTTCGCCTAAAGTTGTCAGCAAAGTCGGTTTCATTTTCAGGTCTGGAAGCCTGCAGGAAGTGTGCCCTCCGATGCATGTCTTGATAAGATGCTCCTGTCTCTCTAGGAATCCTGTACTCAGAAAGCAAATGAGATATACTAGCACCTAACTCAGAGAATAGGAGAAAAGGCAAGCACCTGTGAACTCTGGCTATGCCTAGGACAAATCTTCCAGGAGAGTTTTTAAATGATCTGGGGCAAGCACTCCAGTAACCTCTACATGCCATCAAATGAAAGATCACGTCTAGCTCAGACTTCCAGGATGCTAGTGGGTGTGTAAGGGCTAGCACAAAAACTCTTGCAAAGAGATATTATAGCCTATGAACTGGGCAGCCAAAGAGTTCTCTGAAGTAGCATGGTTTTGTCTGGGTAAGTCAATTAGGAAGCTGGGCAACTGCCTCTCATTCTATGTGATTTTGAGAACGTACTCTCACCAAGAGTTCATTATGTTTCAGGCCTAGCAGTGGCTGCTGTGTAAACACAAGATTCTGTGAAGAAAGTGTTTACACAGAAGGGGAAAAGGATAAGAAGGGAGACCCACACAGCTGAAATATTTGATGTTTTGGTAGAATGGACTAGTCTTTTGCAGATATAACTTCCATAGTAAGCAGCAACTGGTCTTGCCCAAATTGTAGCATGAGCTCATGTACTTAGAAATTATATGGAATAGAACACTTAGGTATGATATGTAGATGATATTGAACACAGGATGATATAGAATAGATACGATAGAAACTTTAGATATAGAATAAAACATAGTTTATTTGAAACTTTGGAAAGTTATGCTGACTTAGATGGTCTCCAGATTGGCAATATTAACCTCCTGTCAAGCAGTTGTAAAGTTTCCTCCTAGAGCTGGGACACAGTAGGGGGCTGCATCATTAAATTGACTTTATTTCCCTAAAGACCTTTGTGTATGTGTGTGAGAATATTCAGTTTCAAGAAGATGCGACAGAGTAGAATTGTACCTGCTAACAGGTCAATGAAGAAAAGATCTGTCTTTCAGTGGCAAGGTCACTTTAAGAATTAGTGCTACACTGCTAGGGGAAAAAAACCCAAACAACATTCAGATGAATATTGGGCACAATCCCACTTTGTCTACACTGGATTTTTAGTGAGCTGTTGAGAGCATAGCGTCAGACTTCCATGTATTGAATGGTAACATGCCAATTACCTAGTGAAAAACCCTGTCCCATTAGGAGGCTGTTTATACAACTTAAAATATTACACTCTTGCCCTTTAAAGAAACATAAAGTTGTTCTGCAGATTTGCTGAATATGAACTAGTACAAATAGGCAGCTAAAAGTGAATTGAAACAAAATATCTTTATTCCTGGCATTATAGAAGCTTTTTTTATCTTTGTAATTGACCACTATAATCTAAATCCCTTGGGACTAGTTGGTTTTGCTGCTAAGCAAAATAGAAGGTTTTGTAGCTGGTCTATAGATCTTGCAGACCAGGTTTGCAGAGCTTATAGGCAATTATGGTACGTGATTGTCTGTTGTCAACTGTTAAGGGAGTATTAAGTTAAAAAGATATTGATGACGATTGCCTTGTGAGTTTAGGCGTTGTGCCAAACAAAACTTTTTCTGAAAGGAGTAAGTATTTTAATCTTGCTCCTAGGCTTGACAGTAAGCCTTTAAGAGCCCAGAACTCTCACTCTGATCTAACCTAGTTAACACCTTTTGTAATAAAAAGAAATCAAAGTTGCTAAAATAAATTTGACTCTTGAAATTCTTATGAAGAAACTGTTTTGTTGATAGAGTGAAAATGGATTGGTAGGAAAGACCATGCTTTGTAAAGTGATATAACTTTGAAAGGAGGTCTACATTAAAATAGCTAACAGTGAACTGAAGAGCTTTTATAAGTTACTTGTTTGCTTTTATGAGTCCCCCTCTGGCAGTTTAAAACAACATGAAAGAAGGCAAAGCTTGTATAATATGGTTTCAGTAAGTACTATAGGGTAAAACAATCTGTCTTAATCTATATTTAAGATACAGCTGGAGCAGGAGATTATAGTACCTCTTTTTGCTCAAAGAGTAAAAATTATTCCTGCAAGTTCTAAATTGCATTTTGCATTACTAGTTACTTCCCGTTTAAATTTTGCATTCTTGTGACAGAGCTGCTACCATGGGTTGCAGAACAACTCATCTGCAAAATCCTGAGCTAGCAAAACTTAAAACTGTTGTCTAAGATATAATTCAATGCTTACTTTCATTTGAAAATGAATTGCCAGTTTTACGCTGCTTTAGCTTCAGGGTTGAGAGCTGAACCTAGAGAAACTCTACATCCACTAACTTTAGGGCAAAAGCAAGCTCACAGACTCCAAACACTTTTTGTATAATAGCATATTAGTCGCCCAAGTAGAGCTCTTTAGAATTTTGGATTGTCTCTACTTTTGGCATGACTTACTTAACCTGTGGGCAAATTTGAACTGGTGCTCTCTTAAAACAGTCTTGATTTTGTGGGTCATTTTACTGCATTTTGCCATGTGTGAAGTTACCAATAGCAAATGTAGCTATGCAAACAATCTGCTTCATTGAGTCACGTAGGAAGGCCCTGTACACAGAATTAAAGGACACATCTTAGAGGTCTCACAGCAAGATTACCTAACAATACTGGGTTTCTAATGTATCTGTCTCAGAATAAAGTAGTGGATTGTGCTAACTTGACCACATTCATTTCTTCCAGACCAGTCTTTTGTGACTCTAGCCACAAATGACTCCTATGTGAAAGGAGCGCTGGTACTTGGTTCATCCTTGCAACAGTATAGAACAACAAGGAAGCTGACTGCACTCATAACTCCTCAGGTCTCAGATCTTATGAGGTAAGGTCACTTACATGCTTCAGACTGCAACAGTTCCTGCTGATGTGCAGGTTGAAAAATGGAAGTTAACTTTCTTAATAGTAACCTTTCAAAGCTCTGGAAGCTGAACAGCTAATAAGAACTCAACTTATCTGGAGTTCCGTAAGTTCTTCAAACATGAAACTGTTTATGTTTTGGTGTGGTTTTTTTTTTTCTTCCCTACGATGAGTTAAACAAATAGTCTGCAGTTAGAGCTCTAAACCATGACTTGATACTGATATTTCTGCTAGATCTTTGCTCTTCTGTAGTCCTGCTTAGAATTGTCTGACAATGTAATATTGCCCACGCATTTGTTAGTGCTATGAGTATGCATGTGAAGGTGAGGGCAGGAAATTAGTGTTTGCTTGTTTTGCAGAAATATTCCCAATTGACATAATATAACACAAGCTCTATTGAAATCTAGCGGACACTTCAAATTTTATCATGGGAGAAGCGAGCAGAACTGAGGTAGCACCAAGTATGTCAAATCAGCAGCTGAACAGAGGCATCTAACAAGGTCAGCACAGTACATCAAATGAAAGGAAGAGGCAACTGCTTCCTACAGCCTCCTTAGAATAGTCTCACTATGGAGTGGACTGGATTCTTTCCACATGTAAGAGGGTAAAAACAAACAATGAAACAGTTGATAACTATGGGAAGTACAGATCATAAGTCAAGATTCTCTACATGGGAAGTAATTCTGAAAAGAGTTATCAGTATATAGACACAATAGAGAGGTGACTCAGTTTAGAAAATGCAGTGACTTTCCCTGGAGTCTCCTGGCAGCTAAACGGTTGTATCGCTTTTAAAATGTTGCATATAGGAACATCTATTTCAGCCTACTAGGTGAGTGTGCTCTTCTAAGATGAACCTTAAATGTGCCTATGTGCTAGTGAAAGCCACCTAGTACTGCACCCTTAGACCAGTGATACTTATGTACCTAATGGTGTAATTGGAACTTGCATTTCTCACCCTGTCTCCACTAACAAAGTATGCCTGAAGTTCAGAAGCACTGACCCACCAACTGTCAGTATAAAGACTGCCTTGCAAGGCAGAGTTCCAAAACTCATTTAAAAGCTCTGTGGGGCTTAAATTGTACTGGCAATTGCTAAGCATTCAAGATATGCTGAAGAACAGTAAGACTTTACTGATGTTTCCTGTTTTAAGCAGCACAAATACCTTGATCTCTTGAACTAATGGTAATTCTCTATTGATGGTAAAGCAAAGGTTGGATATCTACCAATTTCACTAAATTTCACTACACTGCCTGAAAGTTTGTCACTCTTTAGCGAATATGATACTGGTTCAAAACATTTTGTACCCACAGCCATAACTAAGTTAGTCTTGAAAAGACTTCATGGGATAAAGAAAGTTTTAGTAACTAGGTCTAGGCAGATGTCTCAAATGTCACAAATCCAGAACAGTGTAAATATTGCATAAAATTGGTCTAAGCTGCTTCAAATTCAACTACTGTCCTGCTCAAGCTAGTGTAACAGCTTCCCATTTCTTAATTGTCTGCTCAGAGTAGGTTTTTAAGTTGCTAGATATTAGAGTCTGGATGAAAAAAAAAAGCTTAGTGTATGACTTACTGAACTAGATAGCAATGCCAACTAAAACTCTGTGGAAGAAAAAAAACCTCAGAAGACTTCTTTGTTCACCAAAATGTGCACATTACAAACTTTATGGCAGACAGGTGTACTTGTGTGTTCCAAAATATGCAGTCAATTCTTACTACTTTTCAACAAGAAATGTTGCCAGGTTTCCTGTTATTCCACTTCTCTTTACGGAATCTGTCGTGTGGTCTGCTGTTGGAGTAACACTAGAACTAAATCTTGCCAATTGACTCTTCCCCAGGAGAGTGCTGGAAAAAGTCTTTGATGAAGTCATATTGGTAAATGTCTTGGATAGTGGGGATTCAGCACACTTGGCGTTAATGAAAAGACCTGAGTTGGGTGTCACACTAACGAAGCTTCACTGCTGGGAACTGACACAGTTTTCAAAATGTGTTTTCATGGATGCAGACACAATGGTAAGTGGCTGTGTCTCATGGTACTTCTCAAAGTCCTAGTATCAGGGTTGTTGGATTTTTTTCTATGTTTTTTTTTAAGAGTAGGGATAATAGATGGACTAGTAACAGTAAGAATGTGTGTGCCTTTTAAACTAAATTAACTGTTATGGAGTCTGTGGGGACTATGTCAAGTATTGTCTTCTGTAACATGAACACTGATAAAAGAACTTCCTTTTGTGTCTTAGTGTATTTGCCAAAATACATGAAAAACATGATACCACAATTCCTAACCTAAAAGCATTTTTTTAAACTCCTTTGCAATTAGGTTTTGTCAAATATAGATGAGCTTTTTGAGAGAGAAGAGCTATCTGCAGCACCAGATCCAGGCTGGCCCGACTGTTTTAATTCAGGAGTTTTTGTTTACCGACCTTCCATTGAAACATACAGTCAGCTGTTGCAGTTTGCCACAGAGAAAGGCAGCTTTGATGGTATGTATTAATTTGTATTTCAGTGTAAGTTAGACCAAAATGGTCTAATAGTATTTGGGATGGCTCAGTAACCACATACATCTCATGGGGACTCTGTATGATAGAATTCTCAATGTAACCATGCAAAAATTGTATCCTTCTCAGAAATAGAGGCTATCATTAAAATATGTAGTAAAATTACTTTTTTCAGGCTTAATGAAATAAAAACTGAGTTTGGCCTCCAGACTAACAGGTAGAATCATATAACAAGAAATGAAACTCCAGTACTATGCTTCAGACATCCCTAACATTCAAGGCTTGGATGTTCTATACTAACTCAAGCTGCTATAGAAAAAATGGTACTGGTCAACTTGAGCACAGCTTCAGAAAATCAAACATTCGAAGATACAGAAACCTCTTTGTATGCTATGTGATGGCTTCCTGTCATTGCAGGGTGCATGTAGTAGTGCATGCAGTAGCCTTGGTTGCTTCGTACCATAGGTTACTTGGGATCCGCCACTGTACCAGGTTTCAGCCTGAGAAACCAAGTTGTGCTGTCCTGTAAGTCTGCTTAACCTGTTACTGTTGCAGGAAAAGCTTATGTCCCTTGGAGACAGCTGTAGTTAAAAGCTTCACTTTCTCCTGTCACTTAATTTCATTATGTAACTACTGTGGTAGAAAGCAAAGTCTAACTGAAAAAAAATATAGAAAACTATGTAAACAAGACCATAAAATGAAACGCTCAGATAAAAGGTAATGTTGACTTACCTCTCAGTACTTTGTGAAAAGCAAAATATTCAGATGTCACTCCTAGTCTGCAGAATAATCCTTGTTACTGTAGGGATTCTTCTAAAGAACATTGAGCAGTTGCATGCTCAATGATACCAAATGAAAATTAATACTGCCATGTAATAAAGGTCAAAGGTGCAAACTGGTCACCAGCTATAGCAAAATCTGTAGCATAATTCTGAACTGTTGCATTAAAACGAACAAAACCCCCCAAAACCAACCCAACACCCTGTCCTACCCCCCCCCCCGAAAAAAACCCCCAACTCCCCCAAAAGCAACCAATCAAAAAACCTCCAAATGAATAGAACTCTTTTTACAATATGCTTTCTGACATGAATGCTAAAGCCACGCAACGGTGAAACTTCCTCTGTCCTAAATGCAAAGCAATTGTTGCAGCACTTAACAGCAAAATCAGTGGGCTAGTTGTTTTGTTATCAAATTTCTAGAACTGCAATTTGTACTTCAGCTTCAAAATCTTAGTTTTTATTAAATGGTATTACTGGTCTGAGTAATGATGCCATGGAGACCGAGACCATCTGTATAAAGCTACTGCTGAGCTCAGGAACTTCGCAGGGAGAAAGGGAATTGAAAATTAAATTGACCTACAGAGTAATAAAAGGGCCTAGGAAACTTAGTGAGAGAAACCTATGAAGGGTCACTGCTTTTAATGGGACACAGGAATGCAAACTTAACAACCTACCAAACTATGTGTAGGTGAAGTCAAGCTGCACGTGCCTTGTGTGCAGTAGGAGTAACTAGGGCATAGAAGACCTAGAATATTTTCTGTATGTAACAGCAGACTGCTGCCTCCATTACTGTTGTCCAGAAATGGAAGAATGATGGCTACGTATGTACACATCTACTCTGTCTGTCTAAACTTCACGTTTGTAGATAACAAAGAATATGTCATGCAACTACTCTAGATACAATCTAAAAGTAGTGGATAGGAAAGAAAAGTTGGGTTTTAGAAGAAATCTGGTAGTCCTGCTACCTTAAGAATGTTGCTATTGCTTAGACAATCCTCTTGCTCTTTAGCCTGGGATCCAAAATAGTCTTGCTGTATTGTACATTGATATGTATGTGTAAATATGTAGTTAATATTAAGTATTGCCTGATTTTTCACCTTATGTGTGAGATCCTGTTTATATAACAATACTCCTGTTGAAGTCTGAATTAGGACAGCTAGATACTGCTTTCATTGTCTGCTTTGGCACAAATGCATGCAGTCTGAAAAAAGGCCAAGGATGTAAACCAATCTGAGCAAGAAAAAGTCCTGTAGAGTAAGTTAAATACACGGTTGCTGCCCCCTCAGTTCTCTTATGATGGATACCAGTTTTTCAAAAGTGTTTTCCTTCCTTTACAGATTGAGAGGCAAGTCAGAGATTTGAAATTGCTGGACTGAGTCTCTGGCTGTTTCTCATTCTGCAATCTGCATGTACGCTGACAGCTGTAACAGGATACCTAGAATTTATATTTGTCAGTGTACTGTCCGTACATCTAAGTTTATGCCCAGCGTCTAGATACTTCAGCTGCAAAAAGCAAATTCTGCTCAAATGGCACTGATGGTATAAACCTTAATACTGCCCTAAATCGAATCATAGGCCAATAAAAACCTTTTCCTGAGTCAGCAGAGACTGAGTGCTTAAGAAAATGAAAGATTAAAATGAAACATTGTCTGCTTACTAAGCTATCCACTTACCTACCCCTTAGTAATGCTACTTGTGCATGCAGTGATAGGTGAAAGAATACAGCAAATGAAAGTCAGAGGACTCCCTTCATTCTCCTTGATAAGAGGGATTATTACCATTTAAAGACTAATTGTATTCATTGTGATAAAGAACGAATGGATGTAGATAAATAGGTTTTTACTTCTCAGTTGCTGCTTATAAACTAGTCTACTCTGGCCTGAAGGCTATATTTATTTTTTAGCTAATCTACTACTGAGATAGCAAACAACTTCAGATTCACTTAACCTTGTAACAACCTCTACTTGCAAAATAAGACATGACCCTTCTGAACACAGATTGTTATCTTCATTTAGTGGTTAGTCAGGAGCTTTTTAGTGCAGAATTAGAAACACCTGTTATCTGTTAAGGAATTTGATGGAGTTTTCCTATAATTGTCAACAAGACTACATGTGCTTTTCTTCTCAGATCAGTGTGGAGGTAGATGCATCTGGCACTGCAGGTCTAACAGGCCACTGATACCCTAACTCTGTCAGTGAGATGATGTTGGTCATGCACCTGGAAGCATACGTAATAAAACTTTTTGCTGCCATTTGATCTTCTGAGCTACAGCTGAGCAGTGCTCAGTTGTACTGTTTTATTGTGGGGTGTTATTGCTGTGTTATACAGATTGAAGTTAAGCTGTAAAAGAAACTAAATGGCAGAGTTTGTGAGCAGCTTCCCATCTTTAACAAAAGTAACCCCATATATACTATTTAATTCTCTGCGCTTTTGGAATATTCAAAGGGCAGAAGGTTTACAGGGTTGTTCACAAATAGGACTGTAGTGCTCTGTGCCAGACTTCGACAGGACATGATAACTGCATTACCAACTCCTACTTAGTAAAGTGACTGAAAAAGATCTTCAAATAGCTGTCTGATGCTCGTAGCCTATTAATGCTTTCTCTTTTAGGTGCAGATCAGGGGTTATTAAACACCTTCTTCAGCAGCTGGGCAACAACAGACATGAGCAAACATCTACCGTTTATTTATAATTTGAGCAGCACTTCTGTATATTCCTACCTTCCAGCATTTAAAGCGTAAGTTGAAAACTTCAAGAAGACCTTCAGAGCTTACATAAACTAATTTCTTGTAACAGAATGAACAGGCATGATGTGAGCTTACACAGGCTTTTTAGAAGTAGACTGTTCCTGCCACTCAAAATACCGTAATTTCTTCTCTTAAAAAAAAAAATTGAATTGATGAAAATCAAATTCAGCTGTATCTGCAGCTTAAACTACTCATCCCTGGTAATAACACTGAAGTTGAGTAAGCACATTTGACAGGTCACTTGCAAAAGGAAAAACCACTCCTCCAGTACAGGATACAGTCTAGACAAGTTCCAACCAATGGCAGTAGGCTCTTTAATCAACTTGAGCTGACCTTCAGCATGTCACTAGTGGTATCCTTCCCACTTAGATAACTTGCCCTTTCTTCACTCCAGTTACTTAGGGTATTTAAAAACCAGTAGTTACAGTTTCATCTGATCAACCGATACCATTCAAGTAAGTGTGGTGAACAAGGATTTGTATCAAGCTAGAATTCTCTCCTAACAGTCTTTCTAGACCTCTGTCAGTTCCTTAAATAACAGCAAGATGGAGCAAAGAATACAACCAACCACATATCATTGCATATTTCCTCTGTGACAAAGCCTGTATCCTCGCTAGCTAGCAGTGTTAGTGTGGCACGTGAGTAAAGTGTATGTCAGAGGCAGGGTTGTTCAAAGTGTTATAACAATCCAGGAGAAAGGGGGTGGGGTGAGGGGGGAAAGAAGGGAAACTGAAGTGTTACACAGAAACTCTTTATCTATTATGAGCTACAGAAGTTGGAGGCAAGGAAAAGGGAAAGTGCCAAGTGCATAAAAACAATCTGATCTCTGAATGACATCAGGTTACTAGTGTCTAAAGCAGCAGCTGGCATTAGCAGGCCTTGCTGGCTCAAGATCAAACTATGTCTTGTGATCAGAATACTATTTGGAATCTTGTCATGCTAAAAGTGGAACACTTATTTAAAGAAATATATGCAAGCCTCAGAATGACTAAGTAGCTGGATAGCATTTGGTAAACTAACATCTATTGTAAAGTAGATGTTTCCATGGCTGGCTGTCAGTCACGTGACCTTAATTTTACAAATTACTTAGTTGCCACAGAACACTAATTGGATCTGGGAGTTCTTGACAAAAAATTATCTTTAACTGATTGAATCAGTTGCTTAACTGAGTTCATCAGACCTTCAAAAATAGAATGCTGGAAGTGCAGCCCTTGTAAGCAACACTCCCTGCTCAATAGGTGGAACAAGTTCCCTTGGTTAGATCGGCAGCTACACTCTTGATAATCAACAGTTAGAATATAGTGAAATTTAAACCTACTGACAGTAATAGCTAAGTTTTTTGCAGCTTTGTACAGTGAGGCTAGATTTCACAGCAGTCTCAGTAATCCTTTTTCCAAAGGAAAATGCCAATTCATGACAAATGCTCTCTGACTTCAAAACATTGATGAAGGACTTTTCTGGGAGATGTGGAAAGACAGATTAGTTGCTGAGGCCAGTGTAGACATAAAGCTTCCTAACAGTTGAGCTTAAATGCCCAAATAAAGTATTGCAGGTCCAGAAAGTATCTAGAAAGTAGATGCTGAAAACATTGTAGAAGCTTGGCATCTGTTGTTCTGACTGTAAGTAGACAGGATACCAAGAGTATACTTCTCTATTTGCAACAAATGTTGTGATACTTCTTATGCATTCTATTCTCTTTTGAACAATATGTTTCCTTAGAACAGCAGCAGCCCAAGATAAAGAAAACTCAGGTTTAGTACTGACAGCTAATAAAACTAAGGTAGTCCCCTTATGCTAAATCTTGACTTTTGGGGTTTAAAGTTAAAGCCCAGTAACTGACCTCTTGAAGACACTTTTTTTCATGCTGTTAAAGCAAATACTTGGCCTTTCATGCACAGACAAGTCTTCATTCTGCAGTAAGTTCAGTTGTATTGAAAACATTGAACATGAACATTCAAATATAGTCAAGGACCTTAAAATAGTATGAAACCTACAACCCCATGCAAATGCATACTTGGTTTGAATATTCTATGGCTTTTGAAACACACCCGTATTGTCTCCATACACAAAACTCTTTAACACCCGAGTCCTGGTCAAAATGACCAGCATCTGCTTAATAAAACATAAGCCAAGCTACTTGATGTTACTCTCCATTTCAGTCATATGATGTTGACAAGAAAGCCTAATGTGATACAAACTGAACTAGGTGACATAGTCACTGTTAGCAGACAGACTAGTATTGCTTGTTCACAAAACTGAATCAAGCTAAAACCCAGCTCTGGAACTGTAGGAGAATGACATGAATGTTTTCTCTTTCAGTGTTTAGTTCTTTACTTGAGAAGAGGTGCATCTCATCTTTACTTTTAATACAGAAGAACATACTGATAACAGCTGGGACAAAGGGAGAAGTCCATACTGAAAGTAGTTTAAATGGTTTAAAAAGAAACAAAAACAACCCACTAACAAACCCACGCATGGTTGTCCTAAGGTTATTTAGGAAGTAAGGGTTGTCTAAGCAAGACCCTGCTGCACCAAGATCCAGGAGTGTTCTGAAATGCCTTGGTTATGCAAAGTTGCTATTTTTCAAGCACATGGTCTCCTTGCAGCAGAGCCATCCAATGATCCATTCTACAGGGCTATAAACTGAAAGGGTAACTCTTAACACTGACTGTTCTCTACATAATACTTGTAATGCTTAACTCTCTGGCTTGCTGACTTTGGAGTAGAATCTTTTTCACTTTTAAAACCAGTTCCGATTGCAACGGCTGCTTGAGACTGCTCTCCCCTGAGCTATGGACATGACCCTAAAGACTTGAGTTGTCTGTAAGTATTTAAATAGCCCAGACCACTAGGTTTTGGCTGTATTCTGACTAGTGCAATGTAGAATTCAGCTTGCATTTTTTCCGTTGTTTCACAATGCTTTCAGTCCCAATAGGCATTGGCAGTTTGATAATTTAGCACTTAGCCACCTACATATTCATATTTCTGTTTTCTGGACAAATACAGAAATAACAGGTTAAAAAAGTTGTGTCTGACTGTCTAAACTTGTTTTCTAGACATATGTACAAACTGACTTCTAAAATTTTTCTGCCCAACAGGTTTGGTGCAAATACTAAGGTAGTGCATTTCCTGGGAAGCACAAAGCCGTGGAACTATACATATGACTCCAGAACAAAAAGCATAAAGGGCAACATGGATGACCCTAAAATAGTTCACCCAGAATTCCTCAACATGTGGTGGGATACCTACATAGCTGATGTTTTACCATTACTAGAACAGCATGGAATTGTTAAAGAAATTACTCCAGGGGTAAATATGGTACGTGTTCTAATAATCTTGTGCATCCATACCTAAGTATGGATGACAGGTTATTTACCATTGCATCAATTTCCCTTCCCTCTGTCCATCTCAAAGCATGGGTGTGGTTTAGTTTGTGGGATGCAGGATATTTTAGTTTTGTCCTTTTAAGCTTGGAATAAATAATACTATAAAAGAGAAGCATGCTAGACAGGTCTTGGACATGGCTGTATGCTTGCCTAAAACAAACTCTGTACATAGTTAATGTAGCACCAGGTCTTATACTGTAGTAACTTCTTTGATGTAGTAACTTCTTTAATTTATACAGAGAAGGATATAAGTCCTCTGTGTTGCAGCTAATAAGGTTCTCAAGGAGAAGAACCCCAGTTCAGCATGCAAATATGTACATACAGATCTTGCATGGTGAATCACATTGCCTAGGACAACCAAAGTAATGCTTCTAACTCTAGTTGTCATTCACAGAGTTTAGCAGCCTGCATCTGACTGCGGACTTCTTAGTCTTAGCTTAGTACATGAAACAGTTTAAGTTCTCAGCCTTTCTAAGACCAAAGTTATTGACCTCTTCAGATGTGCTTCTCTTGGTAATCTTGCATCTTTCTAACAAACTATTTGCAGCTATCGGGCTTGGTCTATACTCTGGCTTTCTCTTGTGGCTTCTGTAGAGAGGTATGAAGAACTGAAAATTTTCTTTTCTTTTTTCCCCTTGCTAACATCTGTAACTCTGCTTTGTTATTTTGCTAGGAAAGCTGCACAATCCCTACCCATTGGCAATGCTTGCTACTGCGCATGATAACATCAACTTTGTTGTCCCATTCTATGGCTTGTTGCGCGCTTTAGCTGCACAAAGTATTTCTATATTTTTACTCTACCTTTCCTTTTAGGCAGAAGTTACAGAGGCAGTGTCCCACGTATCAGTATCACCACTATTACCAACTGAATCTTCAGAAGAACGCAAGGAACGGTGGGAACAGGGCCAAGCTGACTATATGGGAGTGGATTCCTTTGACAACATCAAGAAGAAACTTGATACCTACCTTCAGTAGAAGTGCCTGTCTCAAACAGTGGTGATGCAAGGACTTGTTCCAGAACTAACAGCTAGAAAGGTATAGATGGTGGTCAGTTACACTTGCTAGTAGCTTGAGGAAAAACTTCTTGGCTGAAGGCCTCTGCAGTGCTACAGATGAAGACTGAGCAAAAGCTAGGAAGCAGAATCCTTGGGCCACCTATTACTGCCCAATTTCCAATTCTCCATACTAGATAAAGCCAGGTATTTTCAGCTTAAAATTTCTTCTGTTTTGATCAATTGGCTCAACATATTCTTTAAACTGGGTTTGTTACCTCACCTCATTAGGTGATTAGCATTGATTCCTTTGCTTGCTGTTTTAGATGTAAAATCTAATTCATGGGATTGCTCATACACTGGAGTGGTAGCCATTCTGCTTTACCATAAATGTATTAATGACACTGGGATACATACATGTAACAGTAATAGCACTGCTTTGCTCTTCCAGTCACAATTGCACTGAAATTTTGACCAGGTTCTTACGCACAGTGCCTGCAGCATGGCAGAATGCGTTTTTCAGTTCTGTATACTATGGGACTAGTAAACTGAGTTTTATCTGTTCCTTGCAATGTTGCACTTGATATAAAAATAAAAAGTTGTCATGCATTTCTGTCTTCCCTAAACTCTCGAGCAATTAAAAAAAGGAGCTTTAAAGCAGTCTAACTAAAATATTCAACAGGTATAAATATCCCTTAAGCTTTGCTGATGTTACTCAAGCTCTCATTAGCAAATGCCCATCTTTTAGTTCATAATTATTTAGAAGTACTTAGTCATTTGCTAGGGAGTTGTTTAGGGCCAATCCCTGTACTGACTTGCCGTAAATATAGGACAGGGCACACGAGGAAGTACCTGCTGAAGGTGTTTACATTAGTAGCTTGAAGTTTGGGAAGAAAGCATCCTTCTTTCAAGTGACTGAAGAAACACCATCCCTAATGTAAGCTGTCTACACTGAACTTAGTCATAAAAACAACTGTGATACTAGTTTGGCAAAGAAAGATTACATAGCTGCTTAAGTAACTGTACCTATCCTGGTAAGGAAAACTACTCTTTCCATGTATAAAGACAGTAAAGGAAGTGCTTTTTTTGCCACACTCAGGCTACATGTTCTCCAAGACACATGGAAAAGCAGTAAAAATAAAGCATGCTGATGACAGACAGATTGCCTGTCATCTGTACTAAGGTTTTCTATCCTTTAGTCAAAAGTCTAAACAGAGCAAAATTAGTGTTTTTTGACAGCTGTACCTTTCACAAATCCAGAAACACTAAGAAAATATAAATTCCTTATTTCCTAGTAAAGGAGGATTTTGGCTGGAATATAGTGATGGTGCTAAATCTTGAGCCTAGAGATAAAATAAACAATCAACAAGCTCTCACCATTTGCTGGTAAAGCAGAAGACATGAGTATAAGGGTTGGTATATTTTAACTTGTTTTCACTACTTAATTCCTCTATGATTTAGTTGTTCACCATTTAGAAAAAATTCTAAAAGATGAGGTCCAAACCAAAGTAGCTTGTAGCTACTTAAAAGAACATAGTATCTGAACTGCAGGTTGTAACTAGCCCTTTCCTGTATGGGTTTTTCTTTTGCTGTGTTTTTTTGTTTGTTTGTTTTGTTTTGTTTGTTTTTTAACATATAAATTTGAAGTTGTGTGAAAGCAGGAGGGATTACTAGTTACAGTCTGTAATGACAAAAGTATACTTTATCAAACAAATATTGGAGAGTTCTGCATACTCAAAGACTACTCTATGGAAAATGGTAACATACTCTTTTAAAGCCAAGTCTACATTGTCCTCCCCTTGTCTGTATTCATACTGGAGAGTAGGGACATTACTTCTTTTTAAGCTTAGTTGGAGAGAACCAAGAAAGTGTAAAAGTATGATACTTATTACCTGCCTGAAAATTTGGTTTAGCACGTATGTTTCGTTACATTAATACAATAAGATAAGGAGAGATGCTGAATAAGATGAAAACCAGCATGTTTTGGATTAACAAATACAGTTAGTGAAGAAAGATCACCTGTGAAAAGAATTCTGCTGTAGCCTCTGTAACTCATACTATGATCAAGTGTTTAACCATGGCCTCAGGAAAGGTATGACATCTATACCAAATTCTATGCAGCTTATTTTCAATAAAATGACCTTTATGTCATTATTTGCCACTATTTCCTTCACAATTGCTGTAGGCAGCTTTTGCAGAAAAGTAAAAATCCGTTTTTTCCCTTGCAATAGCATCACTTGATACATCAAGCAGTTTTCTGCTCTAATCTGAACGTACTCAAAACAGCACTATACTCTAAACATCATTATTCAGAAGAATCACAGCATTGCTTAGATTGCAACTCAAATATTGGAACTTCATTTGCCATTATGAAGCATATAATCTAAGGTTTTCCTTAAATGGTGACAGCTCAGAGCAACTCTTAAAAGCTTAAGAAGCATTTTTTCATATACATCTTTGTTTTATGTATAAGGTAAGAAAAAAAAAAAAGGAACAAAAACCCCCAAACAAGCAAACAAAACCCAGTCAAAATCAGAATGACAGGCTACTAACTCAGTCTTTGGAATTAAAAATAATTCCAAAAGCTTACTCCTAGAACATACCATTCAAACTTCACAAAAGAGAATGCCAAAAGCCAAAGACTACTTACACATCATGAAAAGCAGAAGAAAAATCCCAAATAGTCAGAACACCAAGGTGTTCAACCACTTGCTTGCTGAACAGCTCCATCAACTCAGACAGGACTTTTCTGTGCTCAAGTTTTACATCTTTTCTCTCAGATATATTAATATGGCTTTCTTGGGAGAGACCATAAAGCTCAGTACTACCTTCAGTAAGTTACATATGGCTTTGGAACTTGGAAATAATAATCTAATAGATGAAAAAAATACTAGAAATTGGTTTTAGTTGTTTTCATAATCATACTAAGCCATTTTACAAAATGTCAGCATATGTTCACATAAGTAATCATGTAGCTTGACTAGCCATAGAAATGGTACTCTTGCCTGTGAAATTCTTACTTGCAAAATGGACATAACAAAAAAGAGGCCAAATCCTCTTTCATAATTTCAAATTATTTTTCCAGCTTATCTCTAAATATCAAAATCTGTAACAGCAAAACACAAAGTTTAACTTACATAAACTCTATGCCAAACCAAAAAAAAAAAAAAACCACAAAAAACCCCAAAAAATGGCACTCAAAACCCAACTTCAATCAGGTTTAGCTGTTTTCTTGTTCTTTTTCAGCTTTCCAGTGGCAGTCAGATAGTGGGGTTCATGCTTCCATCGTTTGTGTCCTTGTAATTCTTTCTCTAACAGACTTAAAGTATGCCCTTCTCCATAGCTAAGGTCCTGGCTCTCCAAAAATGGCATCAGTTTGATAGTTTGCTTGTTTTTACTTCCTTTTTCACTCCTTTCATTAGCCCATTTGCTTCAGATAGTAGATATCTTCCCTTTATTTCTCAGTCCTTTTCCACTTCCTATGTTTCCAATTCATCTTATTATCAGCAGGTTGATATTTTCAGATGTAAGAGATAAAAGGCTTTATGGACTCCATTTCTCTGCTGTTAAGTACACTTCCCAAATCTAAACAGGACGTAGATATAGCAATCTCTGACTCCAATTCAAAGTCTGAGCATCGCAGTGAAGGGAGCAGAATATGTGTTAGATAAAGACATTATCAGAAGACAAGAATCAAATGGAAAGACAGGAACAGACATAAATATTCAGCTAATGCTCAACTGAGATTCTTCAGCACTGTTTTTTACTCTGTGGTACATGAATGGGTGTAGTTTACCAAGTCCTTCCTCCATAAGTCAAGTGGCGTGCAGATCAGCATTCCATTGAGACATATGTATGGAAGTGGAAAACGTCATTTTTCCACTGCAAGTGGAAAAGCAGTAAAGGAAAACTGTTAGAGAGCTGGCAGCTATAAAATAATTTGTTTTAATTTATTTTGTAAGGACTTCCTCATTCACTGACACACGAGTGGATCAGATTCTACTTTGCATCTAGCATGGTCTTATTGTTCAAAGTGTCTATTGAAATTACTAGATAGCATAGTGCAATACATGCCTATGATTCTAGCATTCCATCAACAACAAAAAAAAAAACTTCACAAAAATCATTGGAGTTCTGTTAAGTAAAATATTAAAAGTAAGTGTTTCACAAATTTAAGTACTACCTTTTTACTAAGTCCTGGGAAGTAATTATCAGAGGAACTCCCTCCTGCAGATGTATATTATTCAGAAATAGTAAAAAGTACTTTTAAAATTTTGAATTAAATACCATCTTTGGACATAGCCTGCAAAAGTAAGAATTTGAAAAACTGATTACTCCACTGGTATTTCTGCTTCTTAAATCCTATTACTGCTGCTAGTGCACTTCAAGGAATGCTAATGCATGAATGACTCTCATTTGGCACTGTTTATTCAAAAGTCAGATCATAAAGAAAGGATCATGTGGGCCCACTGCTCCTCCATCAAACATAAGCAGTCAACCACTGCCACTTGGGATGGTTACCATCGCAGGATGTCTACCAGCAGCATGAGAAGTTGCTGTTCAGAGGTCTCTAAAGGCAGCAATTATATTTGGCCCTGGGTTGTTAGATATACCTAGACTGTAGATGACTTGGTGTTAGCAATGCTTAGCTTATTTTCTTACAACTGCTTGCTGCAATATGATGAATTCATTATACCTCATTATCTTCACAGAAGATTAAAATTATTTTGCACTTTCTACAAATATTCAGAGAATTGTTGGGAAAAAAACCCCAAACAGTCAGACATGATGGCGTTTTGGTAGTGTAGGTCCCTTCCAAGTGAATGGATCAATGCAGTCCATACACAGACAATATTTGTGAAGATGCATTGTGATTCATGAAAAAAATTCTTTCATGGCAACTTCTCCATACTCTTACTCATACTTAATTTCTTTTACTTATTAAATAAATAGGCTTTGTCTTTGTACTGTTACTATCCATGACCTGATGTCCAAGCTTGTACTTTTTCTTTACAATTGGCAGTGATGGATGCCCAAGTCCAAAGCTAAACTATTGTTTTAATTTACTCTGTTTCTTTCAAGTGCAGATTTTGTTACAGTTTCCAACTGCCAAAAAAATTTGGGAATTACACCAGAGGAGTGAACAGGGGAAGGCAGGAAGTGAATAGAAAACCCTTAATCTGGTACAATGACACAACACATAAATCAGTTTTGCTAAGGCAACTGTTTTGTTATCAATAAAGGTAATTTACATTTTTATTCTTTACAAATAATTTTGCATTTCTGAGTGCTTTAATGAAAGGAAAAAAAACTTCCTAAATGTAAGTATTACCAGTTTCCCATGACCACAAAAGGTAACCTCAGACTAATGTCTTAATTTATAAATAAATTCTCAGTAATAGCAGAAGAGGCTAGAACAGACAAGTACTACATTAAATATATAGTGTTCCTCAAATTCCACTTTGTGGCTTTTGAAGTTCATAACAAACAGAAAGTCTCATTCAAAAGTATCAGAAAGAAAGAGAGATATGAAGAATGAACATAGCATACGCTACACTGTCTAAGTTAGTAGTATTACTAGTATTCTTTCCACTTATAGTAAATAAATGGACAGCAAAAAAATACAGTGTTAAAACAAGAAGATGCTAGGGAAACAAATGAAGGAAACTTCTATTTGTCTTTTAAACAGATACTCATCATTGTCATTCTTTCTCAGACAGGTTTTCCTTCTGCCTCTTAGAAAAACACCAAAGAAATTTCACCTAGATTAGGCCATATCATTATGAACAACCCATTACCACAGGATCCATTAAAAACACTAGGAAAGCTGCTGTCACATTTAATCCAACTCCACCCACTTTCAGAGACAAAAGCATTATAGTTCAGGACCCTGCTTGGTTGCTTTGGAAACAACAAATTGCTTTCATTCTTTTCTTCTGTGCCATTGACCCATCCAAATGAATAAATGCAAGCCCTGATTCTCTAAAGAGAAAGTAAAAATGTTGAATTTACCAATCCATTTTGGGTGACAACAGGAAATAAATACATTAAAATCCTCACCTCTGCATATAAGCTCCATTTTCTTTGAGAGATCATTCTAAAACACCACAAAAGGACATGTTTATTGAAAATAACATCAGTTCTACTTACCTCAAACAGTTTTCTATCAGTGACAAGAAAGTTGTGAACTGACAAACAACCAGACATTTAGCAGCTGGACTTATCCCTCCGTAGTTCTACTAAAGCATGCATAAGAGCGTTTATCTGAAATCAAATTAAATTGATAAATAAATTAAGTATTTATCTGAAATGAAAGGAACTTACTTTGACTTGGTTAGAGTCCATTCCTACAGATGGCTTTGATAAAGTTCACATCAATTGAGACAAATCATTGTTCAGTAATACCTTTTCAATGAACTAATCTTGAATTCCGTGAGTAGGCTGTCTTCTAATTTCCATAGGAAACTATGGGTTCAGCATTTCTAATAGTCACAAACTACAGGGTGATTGAGAGTGCTTTGGGAAGGAGAATTCAGAACCAATTTTCCAGACATACTTCACATTGTCAAAAGTCTGCAAGTCCTCTATCTCCAGGGTATATGCAAAATAGGAGCGAAGTACTGGAACTTCAGAGAATAAGGCTTAAGCTATGGACAGCCCCTAGGCAAGTGATCTACCATAGCAATACTCAAGAAGTGAGAAAGGCTTCCCCCAGATATACTGAGGTAAATAAGGTATGCAGGACCCTTGGCTAGGTATCACAGGGAATAAGGAGGCACCACAATCTCTCTTGGAACCAACATGAGAACAAAAGGAACAAGGAATGGGAGGCGAAGCAGAAGAACGCTTCTAGTTTTCTCAGTAAGGTTTAGCTAAGATGACATAAAGAACTACTAACTAGAGAATGAAAGTAACCGCACCAGCTAAAAAGAAAAAGAATAAAAATCATGATTTCTTGTAGAGCATAATGTCTGAAATTAGCTCTTATGTCTCCACAAAAAGATTTTTAAGGAACAAATTTGTAACCAGCACTTGAAAGAACAATTTCTTCATTAAATGTTAAAAACTTAATATTTCAGAAAAGCAATCCCAAAATGATAAGGTCAAAGTACAAACAGAAAGATTCACTTTCCTTTGCTGCCAGAATTTGTGACAAAGAAAAATGATGTGGCAGAGCTTGAGAAACAAGTCTACAAAGTAAAATAAGAATACTGAAATGTTTTTTCTGACAAGAGTTGTATTGAACATATGCCCATTTAGTTTTCCCCTCTAGAGCAAATATATATTGCTTAAGTAAGATTTAAGAAATTATTTATTTAGCGTTTGTTTCCAAAAGTAAATTAGGATTTGACTAAGTTTCAGTGGTTATAGAACTGCTCTATCTTCAGAAACTGAAACAAAAAGCAAAGCTCTTTACCCCAAGTTTTATTTAATTAACGCACACCTATGTACCAAACCATGACCAGCATCAATTTACAACTGGTATTCCTTTTGTCTTGTTTCCCTGCTGCAAGGGAATTGCAGTTTGTTTGTGGTGTGATTTTAGTACGCATTTTCTTCTGTGCTGGCTAGACATGCTCGACAGACTTCTAAATAATAACTTAAAAGTATGTTATCCATACATATATAATGTTCAGTATATTTACACAATTATAGGGTATGCTCTACAAAACCGTAATGAAAGCTAAATAAAACGTAATAGAACGCACCTTTGAGTTAGATATCCACTCCTGATCAGGCTTCTTTTCATTACTGGAGTCTATTTCCTCTTCTAGGGGACCATTCCACCAAGTTATCTACTTGAAGCTCATTCCTACACAGAGGGCATTTGGCTGTGCAAAAGCCCAAGCAAATTAAAAGAAATTTATTAAATCTAGTTATTTATAGTGAATGATAAATATCACCTTTACAAAGCACCTTTTATGCATTTATTATACTGATGTAAAAGCATCCTCAAGGATTCATTCTTGTAACACAATTTCTCATTTCTGATGTGACAGTCAAAATATTTTATTTGCAAGAACATTAACATGACCTAAATACTGCACATTTTATAAACAGTCAGCCTTCCTTAAAAGTGAATTGGTCTTCTTGCTGAGCATATTTATATTGAAATATGTATCTTAAGGTTTTAAAGCAAGGATATATTTGGGCTATGAGAGTAAGATTATTTAAAATATGAGAAAAATAAACCATCTTTCAAAGACAATATCTTCCTTAGTCACAAACAAAAGAATGACCTTTTACCCTTTTTCTTCAAAGCCTGCACAGAAATAATAGCAGTCTGATGAAATATGCTTTGTCAGGACCAGACACAGGGTATCTTCTCTTTTTCCCCAACAGACACATGAAATGAGACATAATTTAACCCCAAAAGCCTTTTTCTCTGAAGTACATTCTAGATAAATCAAAATTTATACAATAGCACTTTCATAGGACTAATAAGAAAATTTAATAATGGACTGTGTGCACTATACAAATGGACAATTTTGTGAGGCAAAAATGACGGACATGAAAAACTTCTGCCTAACGAAGCAACCCTTTAAAATTAGGTAACACTGTTTATATAGAAATCTGGCCACAGAACCAAGGCATCTTTAGAGAGGATTCAAAGCAGACCTCACAAAGCACATGAATACTGGGGGCTGCTAATCTGGAATGAATTGATAGCCAATTAGAGAAACTAGCAGTCATAGTCTGATACATTAATTTATTGCAGCAATAAAGATATCTTTTCAACAGGCAGACTCTTTAATACAAACAAATTTGAAATAACAGTTTTCCAAACATAGTGAATGAATGAACCATTCCTGATTTGGCAGCAAACCAAAAATCCTCCAGTGAAAAGCCAAAATAAATTACTTCTATTAAATCTGAAAAACATTTTCTGGTAAAAAACCCACAACCTCCTAACAGTGCTCATAAACTTTTTCTTTTTTAATAAAAAATTCACAACTTTATGCATCCCTTCTCCACTTTAGTACCGTAATTATAAACAAAACACAAAAATTAGCTGAACATTGCCTACACAAATACTGAAGAGTTATGTTAAAAGCATGTGAAAATGACAAAAAAGTTTTACAATGAACAGCTAGAAGAAAAAAAAATATTTGAATGCACATCTGGCAAGCTTTTGTAAGAATGCAGTTGATACACAAAGACAGATTACTACAGAGATCTTAGCTTTATTGTGGCTTCTCCATAGGATTTTTACTTACTTGCACAACTCTAAATTTAGTCTCAACAGAAGACTAAAATGAAGGTAGTATTAACTCTCAGGCTGTTACATACCAAGAAGTTTTTCCAATTTTCGTAAATGCTTTTAGGTTCACATTAGAAAGATAAAGTGATTTCCAAGTTTGTAACACTGTGATATGCTAAACTTTTCACTCAGCAGTTTTGTGCTTGCAGCTTCACATCTCATTTGTATTAATATTTGAAACCATAATCTTGTCTGGAAGAATCCTGCTTGAACCCAAGCTGCTCTGGGGAGAGGGTATGCAGTTTATTGGTCTGCTTTGTCTTCAAGGTGATACCTAAAGTACTTTCCCATGTTATTTACTATGAGAGAATTGCATTGTAACTATTCAGGCACAGAAACTACCCAGATCAAATGCAGTACTAGTACAAAATACCTATCATGTGGAAACAGTGAATTCCTCAACTTTGGAATTTAGATGCATTTAGATGCATGTCAGAGTCAACTTTGGAATTTATAGATGCATGTTTAGATGTCAGTGTTTTGGCTAAAAGCTGCAAAAACTTCCTTGACAATCAGGAATCATTTTGAAGGTAAGAACGCTTATTCACTCACTGTTTTAGAAACTTACGATAGTTCAAAAGAGCAGAACCTATACCCACCTCTGTTCAGACTTCACTACTGTTAAAGCAATCTATAGACCAACACAGGATTGGACAAAGGTGGTAGTTCTGGAGATTCCATGGTCCTTTCTTGGCAAAACATAGTAAGTAACATGACTTTACAGTCAAGTAGTATATAATGATGATAATTCCATCACATCATAACCCAGTTTATTTCTCTCCACATTAAAAACACCAGAAGGTTCAGTAGGACACTGACTCCAACAAACATATCAAGAACCTCTGCACTGGAAAAAGGTCTCTGCAAGTGCTCTTTCCTTCACTAGTTTCCCTCAAATTTATCAGAAACTCTAGAGAGTGGGATAGCTGCATCAGAATTTTGTGTATCTGGCAATGGAACAATGTCAGTCCAGAAGCCAGACAGAGCACCCTTTCCACCTCTGTCTTCTTAGGCTGACTGATTATGCACAAGTAGGGACTAACCTGTCCCTCCCTGCTTGTTCCTAATAAAGAGCACCAGCCAGGTTTGTACTAACGTTTGCAGCTCTATTCTGAAGGGGAGTCAGAACAACTCCCAAGAGTAAATGCAGCAGAACTGGATACAGTTGGTGAGACTACCATGCCATTATATTTCCCTAGAAAGGGCAAATAAAAAGGAAAAGTATATCTTAGAAGCGTACAAGAAAAATAAATACTATGGTTTTCAAAAGAGCAATTCAAGTATACTCATTCAAACTTTTTCTGGAGGGAGCCCAGAGAAAGGACTAAAGATGGCCCTTTAGGAAGACAGCTATTTCATTGTCCAAGCTTATCAGCTTTGAAAAAGGAGTGTAGACATGATTTTAATTTAACAACCTACTTGGACAAGCGGTACTTAGAACTCAAAGTATTTATGCAACACATTGTCTAACAGGAATAAGCAATTCTCCTGTGGCAGCTGTTCAAGTAGCAATTATACTATGGATGTGACATTATTTATAGTTAAGATTGCTTTAAATTTTAAGAAATTCAAGCCATACTTGTTTAATAATTAAGCTCTAAATAAGTATTGAACAATTTTCAAATAATTTTTCCATCCTGTATTCTTTAGGAAAATAAACAACAACCTTCTAAAAAAGGTTCTGACCATATCTCATTGGTCTTCCAGATCCTGAAAATCAACAAGGGTGTCCTCCTTGTTGTCTTACAAAACCTGCAATAACACTAATGTTCAAAGGGGCAAAGATGTTGTATTTTGACCTATTTCTTTGGAATACCCTAGTACTTTTATATTTCAAGAGCAATAAATCTTTTTATTTGGCACTTCATTTGATATCCTTACTAATATTTCATTCTGGCATATAAGCAAAAAGGCACCTGTCTTCTCCCTCTTCCTTGGCTGGTTTAAGGAGTTAATGACACAATCTCCAGAAGTGCCAAAGTGAATCTGCCTAGTCAAAAGCAGGGAATGGAAAGTGTGCTCACTACTGATAGAGTGGCACTGTAATTACAGTACCACCTCAGTTTTGTCTTGCTATCAAATAAATCTCCCTTGGGAAAGCAGATCTGTATGCTTTTACTATCAGGACAGATCACAGGAAGTAGTACTTGTCTATCACCACAGCAGTACAGACCACGCTGACACACGAAGACAACCCAGCACCATT